ATGGAAGTGCATGCAGATGACTATAGCTTGTTGATTCAGGTCATCTTCTAGCCTTTGCAACTAATTTAGTTTATAACCCTTTAGTGTTGAATCTAAGGTGACAAACTGTACACTGGTCCACGGTGTAGGTGAGATATTTGTACATAAAAAAGAATGAACACAATGCAATGCTGCGCCATGTCTACCAAATCATAACACCATAAAAATGTTATAACACTGTATGTGTTCCCCAAACCTAATTACTGACTGAATTTTATTAGCAAGGTATATGTGTCTTCACAGGTATCATTACAATTACTAACCAGGTCACACACATCTTTAAATAATTCAATTCAGCACAGCAAAATCTTGTTATTCAATAATCTCAGTAGTAATGTGAAAAAAGAAAATTTTAGACAATGTTTGAAAAGTCAACAGTGAAAGTCTCAGCTACATCATTTGACAAAGCTCAAAAATACCTTTTCAAAACCCCTTCAAAGATACTCCATTTCACCTCTAACTCTTGCTCTTTCTATTTGGCTTGGTCTGTGTGTGCTGCTCAGTAGCGGAGCTAATGAGAGTGTGAAATTAGTGCAGAGTCATGGTGTGTCATTTTCACCACATGCTGCAGCGGTGGGAGGCAGAGCCCTTCTGTCTTTTTCCTATTATTTAGCTCCCTATCTGCTCCTTATTCCTTTCCTCGCTTGCTCCATTATTCTTCCCTCTGTGCTTTACTCGAGCATGCTCTGTCAATCTCGCACCTTCTGACTCTTATCTTTCCCTCACACTTTTTCACCCGACCATGGACACGTACAGTAGGACCGACTTTGAGTAGACCTTGTAGCACATCAAGATGAGTACCTTTAATAAGCTAATACTGTGTGTGTGCACACGAAGAGCTATATACTAACTCAATTGTTAAATAGCAGCAAAGTGTACACTAGTACACTTACTGGCCTGATGTTTTATAATACCAACAGGATAAGCTTCTTTTATGCTTTGGTGCACAAATGCACAGACAAAAGATAACATGACTCAGAGTAAAATCTAAATGAAGTAAGTCAGAATGGAAATTAGCTGAGCAACACTTTTGTTATTATTACACTAAGCACTTTAGCAAGCAAGTTGCTGATATTAATCAACTTAAATCAAATTAGTGATACTAGAGTTTCTTCAAATGGCTTTAATAAGGAATGATTGGGACAATCACACAAAGTCAAGGCAAAGGCTAAAGACCAGATGATCTTGGAGATATACTCTGACCAATCAACTTTAACCAAATAGTTAATGCCAAACAAGCATAATCCCTGCCATGGTAAAATAATTTAAAGCAGAAGTTTAGCAATGAACATGTAAGATTTGAAAAAAAGCACAGGAAAAATATCCTAACTCACTTTTAACTGTATTAAATTTATATTTGTAAAGATTTAGAGTTGGAAGAAAAACTTCCTGTGGGCATTTCGATAGTAGTAAAAGTGAACAAAATAAAACTTTTAAAAAACAGATATCTAAATATGAGGAAAAATTGTGTGAAATACCAATATTATGTCAGTGTGAGAGAGGGAAAGGGAATGCTTTTGCTCTTATTAAACAGTGATCATATATTGTGAACTGCACAATGTGCCTGTACACACAAAACCACATCTAAACAGCCACAAACATAGCAGACATCTAAAGGCATTGCCATGCCCGGTCATCCTGTGGATGGTGAACAGGGAGAGATTAGGGGCCTGCTCCAGTTTTTCAAAATGCCAACCTCGTCCAGAGCAAGGGGTGTAAATGCCACCCAAATGTCAACAGGAGACCCCACAAGTCAAACTAAATTGGCTGCTACATGCACAAACACTCATGTACGTCTGCCCTATGTTTGTGTCCATATCTTTACAGCCATACACTCTGCGCTCTAACAAATCTCACTGCTATGCTATACTTGTGAGGACAGAACCAATCTTATGCATTCACTTAATACAAGTGGCAGTACTACCATTAATGCATTACTGTGTTCTGCATACCAGAGAGGGCTGGCCATCTCTCTCTGTGCACCGATTGAGTCACTGGTACATTAATATATGCAAAGCTATCGAAAACAATCCTCCCCCATATCTTTAAAAATTAAATTCATAGAACATCTTCCACATATAATCTTAGGTCACAACATCTATATGAGCCATCTGTTCCCTGTGTTCGGATGGTGATGGGAAAGAAAGCCTTCATGTTAGAGACAAAGATTGAATAGCTCATGGGAATGATAGTAGAACCCTGTATTCCCACAACATGCTTTGGGGAATACTAGGCCTTGTCCAAGTCAACAAGAGCACATACAATATAACTGGATGGGACAACTTAAAGTAACTTTGCATGTGCAAAGAGCTGAACCAGTGTATCTACGTGTCACAAAAATTCAACTCCTTTTTACTTGGATTAACATTAGCTGTGCAAAGAGCTGAACCAGTGTATCTATGTGTCACAAACATTCAACTCCTTTTTACTTGGATTCACTAAGCATAACATTAGTAATCCTGGATAACTGATATCATGAAGTTAATTATCAGCTAGCTCAGTTAACACTGGCTTTACTAATTCAGGTATGAACATGTTTATGTGAAAGAGCCAGTGGTCTTAATTACAAGCATGTAACATCATCTGAACGATGAGTGGGGCACTTCATATGAAATGGAGTAAACTGGTGATACCCACAGGGAAATTAGATTAACATGCCAGCAGAAGGTGATATTCAGTAAGGCAAAAGATAAAATGCAACTCACAGCTACAGCAGAATATGAAGCATAAACATATGGAATAAAATCTAAATATAAAAGTAGTATAAGTGTGGGCGTTAGAAAGCTATGCGGCATAGGTTACCATGGTATTCTATCCCAATTAAAAGTGACTCAGCTTCAGAAAAAAAGAAACATATAAAAACCATTTGCAATTAAACATTAAGACCCTGTTGCCTCATACGCTGCCGCACACACCACTGATTTCCTGTACCCCACCCCCACCCCACCCCAACCACTTTTGTCATTACTGCTACCATGAGTCGCATGGCTGGCTGCAGGAGGTGTAGTGATCCATCAGAGAAGTGCCAGAGCTTTGCCATTAGAAAACCATCTGCAAGCAACAGCGCTCCATTGGCACTAGAAGTCTAGAGAGCGCAGGTCGGAGGGAGGGAGAAAGAGAAGAGAGAGCCCTGCGTGCAAGGCAGTTTGGTGTGATTGATATGAACCATTACAGACAACATGGGAGAGGGAGGCAGAGAGCTAGTCACTGTTTTATTTTTGGTCATTTGTTCAGACAAAAGGTGGGCCAGACCCACAATGAACAGGGGTCGTCAGCACGTGTATGTGTCGGAGAGAGAGAGAGAAAGTGTGTTAGAGAGGGTGCGTGAGACAGAGAACGATTCAAGGCCGAAGCATCAGTGAAGGGACATAAACACACAGGCAAACGCCTGAAAAGAGAGATATTAAAGCATGCATAAACCAATACATGCACACACTCCAACGCACACAGATAAACATACAGTAGATTGTCTTTACTCTCTGAAGCCAGCAATTAGCTTTCAAAGAGCATCAATCAGTCAAACAAAAGGAAGCATAGCAAATGACAATTCTGCTTAGATTTGTAGGACTGTGATGAAGAAAAAAAAAACTGACCTGATAAAAGAAGGGCAATCTTGCATGAGCACAAACTAACTTCACTGCCTGATGTTATGCAAATATATATTGTTTCGAAGCCAGTCCAACATTTAGCGGTCAGGGTTACGTAAGTCATTAATTGTCTAGTATACGTAAAATCTAAACAAAGACCTGTTTTGTTCTATCTATGCTGATGTTTCTTGACCCTGTTACAGTTCTACCTGTAAGATTAAAAACCTCTGTGGAGCTGAACCATACACTGGTACATTAATATTACCAGTTAGCTACTTTGTAATACAGTTACTACCCAGATGACCTCTGTGTAACCATAGCTCTCCACTGTCTGATTATTCAAGATACTTTCACAGTCAAAAAAAAAACTTGCCAACATTGTCCAAATTTAAAGGATAAACTAAAGGTTTTCCAGAAAGGAACTCTTATCATGCTTCTATGTATTGAATATACACTATAACGTATGCCAAACACCATAGTGTGGAAGTAGGAAACATCTCTGTTTAATGGATCCTAGGAGGTAATGTATCACTGCCCAGAGGACAATTCAATTAAACTGCTCCACTATTAGATTTACACTGCTCTACTGGGACCACAGTTGTGTATAGAAAATTACCAGACACCCAGAACATTGCCACAAAGACAACCCTTCAGAATACTCCAATTTAATGCGACAAAAAAAGCAAGTGCGGTAGTGGATCCCAATTTCTTGGGATAACATTTTGAACTGAAGCTACAGTATATTATATCATGTTTGATTTACAATATCCCAATACGCATTAAAAAGGTTGAAACCGACAGACAGTCACTAAGAGGCTGTGTAATATAATTAGTTTACAGTTTGCTGCTATTCAGTCATGGCCCAGGGTTCATGGCTTGTGGCCTGCTCATCCCTGGTTGTCAGGCCAGTATGACACCAGAGTGCTTCTTGTGAAGTTAATGGAATGCTAGCAAACTATTCCAGTAAAGACAACAGGTTTTGTTGTTTATTAACTTAATTTTAAGATGATCCCTTTAAGTTCTATACTGCTGGAAATCAGAGGTGTCTTGCATCATGCCATGACTGCCAGGAACCCAATTCACTCTTCTACTGCAAAGTACCATCAGAGTAAGGCTGTGTGAAACTATGATCTGCTGCCACTTGAAGAATGTTGACTATCTCATCTAGCGACTCCACTCATGCGGTCATTAGTCTAGTACTTTGGCTGTTACTCAAACAGTAGGCAGCAACATACAGTACCAAAAGGTGAGAACATCAGAAAGTCTATATGCCACCTGTTTGTTTTATGCTGCTGATCACATTCCTGACTAAAGCACATCTTGAGACCACATTCAATCTGCTTGTCTTGCTGGGTGTTAAGTCAAACATTGTACCTGCGAAGAGGCTTGAAGATCACAGTAATGTTCCTTGCTCCCGGTTTACACACAAACTTCATTTCCCCCCCTTCAATCAGGTTGTCATCAGCACCACCTAAAACACAGGAAACAGGACTTTACTCAATCAAACATGTAAAAAATAGACATCTAAATGAAGTATTCTTTGAGGAGAGTGCTTTAGCTGTACAGTAGTTAAAATGGATATGTGTGGCTCACACGTGCAGGATGACATTTAGAAGATCTAGGTGTTTCTGAAAATGTGATTTCAACCAGCCCACCCACATTCGAAACTCAATCATCATCACCACAGTATGTCCTGTAACAAGACACCAAATTTCAACCAACCCCAGGTGTGATGACCCTAAACGGTAATCTGCTTGGAAGTGGCATGTAACAATGTTGTTTTTGCCATTATGCAATAAAATCTTGAATTATTTTGCAACATTTAAAAATATCTAAATTGTACAGCTTAAACCATAATAAACACATCACTCAGCTAGTGTGGCTCTCTGTTACAAATCTAAATACATCCCACATGCTCACCCTCCTACATGCCCCTGTGTCACTGCGTGGGTGAACCCCACAGCTAACAAGGTTAATCAGAAAATCATTGCTACGGAGCATGTTCAGGTAAGAGTGGGTGAGTCAGACACTGCAAGTGGGGGTCACAGGGTGGGGGCTGCAGACAGGGGAAGTGGGACGATCACAGGGGAAAGAAATAAACACAGGAGATCATTATCTCCACTCAACCTGAAGTAATCAATATAACTGATGCAGAAGCCATTTCAGCTCATTGTCAGTTCAGCAAACTGCAGAGCAAAAGAACCGTCCATCTGTGAGTGAGTGTGTGTGTGTGTGTGTGTGTGTGTGTGTCAATGAATAAGAACGGAAGCAGGACAGCAGCTGGATGGGGGGCG